AACTCTTTCCCTTCTCTCCTCCCAAAATTCCCAAAAGGATATTAATTTTACAATAACAGGGTAAAATAATTTTTACTAATGTGTGATGAACTGATAGTTTTATAATTTATCTGCCTTTTAAAAAGAGGATGATTACTTCCAAAATCAATGCCTAATTAGTAGAATGTAGGGCAATGTTATAAGGTATCATGTCAATACACATTTTTTTTTTAACTGGGGAAATGAGAAAAAAATAATTAGGTGTTTGATAGATGAGTCCTCAGAGTCTGTTCCTCAAAACTGACCTGATTTTTTTCTAGATTCATTCCCTCCTAAAATTCTGCCACCATAGATTTTCTGCAAGGTCCACATACTTTGTTTTTATGCAGAAAGACTTTCATAACAACAGGGTCTCTGGCAATACAGACAAAGAAATTAGTATGGAAAAGGGCACAATTTGGGCTATGCGTATGCATTAGCTCAAGTTGAGTACATTTTTTATCTGAATATTGATTTTTTTAAAAAACCTATGTAGTTATTATTGTATAAAAGTCTGACCCAGAATTGGCAACATGCATTTAATATTATTGCCACATAAAAACAAAGCTAGATATGGATACAACTTGAAATATACCAGGATGCATAGGAAAAAAAATAGAATAGCTTTCCAAACATTTATAATTATGTGACTGAACTGATAACCCCACAAGAAGCCTCCCATTCCCATGGAAACTGCAAAGGTCCACAGGAATTTGCACACTGCCATCTCTATGTCCAAGAGCTGTCACCACAACCACCATACAAGGGAGGAGTCTCAAGTGTAGGCAGGTTAAATGTCACACCCATAGGGAAACAATGCTGGGAAGAGAATCCTGGTTCCTAATTCCCACAGCATCCTTCACTGTAGCCTTTCCTGGCCTACCTCTAAACTATCTTACCTTTTAGTCCACCCATCACTGGTCCCCAAAACACAGATATGCACAAAAGCACATTTTAAATTTTGAGCGTCTGACTCTCCAGCATGGGTTCTTAAATCAGTAAGCTCTCATTTTGAACCAGGTAATAGAATGTGCTTCATATTCTCTGGATGAGGCAATTTTCAAATTCGACTCATTCTTGCTACCAACTGTGCATCTGAGATGAACTTAGAATTTAGAAACTGCACTGCCACTCACGATGTGATGACTTCATGCAAACTACTCAACTATTCTCAAATATAATTTCTTATTCTTTAGAAAAGGAAGAATCATACTAACCTAATAAAGTCGTTTTTATGATTTGACAATAATATTACCTCTCTTGTGGATTGTTGCGACAGCCTCATATCTGATCTTCTGACTTCCACTCTTGCCCACCTTTCATCTATTATCAACAAATCAGCCAGAGTGGTCCTGTTGAAACATTTAATCCTGTCATTCTTCCACTTAATCTTCCTCCCCATTCTGATAAGAAGCCAAAGTTCTTCACTGCCTTACATTGTCACCTCCTCGTTGTCCCTGTATCCTGACCTGCCACCACTTTGGCCCTGCACCATTTCACTTAAGCCACTCTGAGCCCCTCACTATTCTTCAAATATTCCAGAAATACTCCTGCCACAGGGCCTTTGCACTTGCTGTTTTTCTGCTTGGAAATTCTTGGCTTGAGTATCCACATGAATCACTCCCTCACCTCACTTTGGGTCTTTATTCAAAAGTTATCTTCTTAGTGAGGTTTTCCCTAGATTTCCAATCTAAAATTATAACTCACCCTCCTTTTAATAATTCTTCTTTACTGCTTTATTTTTCTCCTTAGCACCAGTGAACATATCTGTTGTAGATTAAATGTTTCCCCCAAATTCACTAAAGCTTAAATTGTGTCTCCCAAAGTTCCAGACATTGGATACTTGGCCCCTACCGTGACAGTGTTGAGAGGATGGGAAATCCTATTATGGTAATTGAAAGCTGTGGCCTTGAAGAGGTGACTAGATTGTAGGACTGTGCTGTAGTGAATGGATTAATAATGGTGGTAAGGGGCATGGTTCTGAAGCCTTCAAAAGGAGAGCACATGAGAGTGCCTCTCTCTCTGCTCCACCATTTTCTGTGGCCTTGAAGAGGTGACTAGATTGTAGGACTGTGCTGTAGTGAATGGATTAATAATGGTGGTAAGGGGCGTGGTTCTGAAGCCTTCAAAAGGAGAGCACATGAGAGTGCCTCTCTCTCTGCTCCACCATTTTCTGCCATGTGAGACCCCTTTATTCCTATAAAGCCACCCACCAAAGAGGACACTCACCAAATGTGTTCCCTAGATTTTGGACTTCCCAGCCTCCAAAACTGTAAGCAGTAAATTTCATTTTCTTGTAAATTACCCAATTCCAGGTATTTGTTATAAGCAGCAGAAACGGACTAATACAATATCCTACTTTTACTTATTTGTATGTTTTATTGTCTGTCTCTTCCTCTCGATTATAAGCTCAACATTAGCATTTTGTCCACTCATTAACTATGTGATTTTGTGTAGTGGGAGGACACTCAAGTTCTCTGAACTAGAGTTTATTCATCTATCTTCAGGACTGTCCTCTGGGGATGCCTGGTATAATGGTAAGAGCTTAATACTTGATTGTTGAATTGACGACTGAGTCTAAAAGAGCTTTGAAAATTATGCCCTTCGAAGAATGAAAACAGAGGAGAAGGAGAAAAAGAAAAGGAAAAAGAATATGTTAGGAAGGGAGTGAGAAAAATCCTTAAACCACAGAGATATAAAAAAGAGAACAAGCAACAGCAACAAAAATAAAAGACAGAAAGGAAATCAGTGCATCATAATTGAAAAGTCCAGGAGGAAAGAAACAAAAAGCACAAGAAGGAAGGGCCGTTCTTCACTGTTCATTCAGTATTCACAAGCTTTAACTAGAGTTTTATCATGAGTTGGGACAGTACTATTCTCACAAACCAGGGAATCATCTTCTCTCCTATGAAAGACCGGTTCAGCCAATCCCTCAAGGTAGTCATGAACTTGCGAGAGGTCTAAAACACATGCAATGACTCTAGGATGCATTAATGATCAGATCAAACTATTCTCCATCACCATCTATTTTCCTGGGAACCTGACCTGAACATATGCGTAATGCCATGTACTGAGATTAGAACACTGAATTATGGTCATAATCTGGGGTGTTATACTCTTCAATGCACACATACTCAAACACAGACAAATACACCTCCATACTACACAATTAATAGATCCCCAATCTTCCTGCAATGCTAGCAGCATAGAATTAATTTTACAATATTTTTATTCAGATTTCGACAAATGGAATCCTCTGGAGCAAGAAGGAATTTCCAGCAGGCTAGGGGCAGCTTATCTCCCATTCATGGGATGCTCTCTTGGGCCTCAGATTCAGCCCCTACTGTGATTTTCACTTTTCTCTCCTGGGAGCCTTCTCTAGCTAGCACCCCAGTGTTGCAAAAACGATTTGAATGTCATATAAGTGTTGTTCTTAGATGCCTTTATAGGTCCATGTTGAGGAAAACAGCATTCACTTTGCAACCTTCTTGGGATTTTTCTTTCGCTAGAGCCTCTTCATCCCAAGGATTTAAAGCATGATGGATACTTTAGCTCCTGAATCAAAGCAACCCTCCAGAGTTAAAAGCTAGCTGTATTTGCATAACAATTTAGCAGATCCAAACAGCAGGGCAAGGGCGGGTGAAATAAATTGCTAAGGTCGTGGTTCTCTTGAAGTGTTATCAATGCTTGCTCTGCCCCATGGCTATCTCTACCACCTTCCTTCTAAATGGTACCGGGGCATAAAATAAAATTAATCTGTATGCATGGAAAACCACAGGCCCACCCTTAACGCTTTTCTTTCCTTCTAATTGCAGATTATCAAATCGTGGAGGAAAAGATGAAATCATGTCCCATGATCTTACTATATTACCATACAAATGAAATAACTTACTAGAAACAGTGATCTGGGGCTCTTGGTCTAAACCAGGAACTGCTCTTGACTGTACTTAAAACTCTAAAAGTATTTTGAATCTCTTTAATTTCTTGAACAAATAATTGCTTCAAATTCACTTTAGTTCTGAAAAACTAAAACATATGGATTCTTTAAAAATGTAAAGGCCCACACGCCAGAGAAAAGGAATCTGAGAAGATTAAATGTGTAAATAATTCCTGCTTTAATACCGTCAGCTAGAAAAACCTTTTAAGCGACACATCGAAGACAAGCTCGTTAAAGTCACAGCCTCTCTGAAGATCTCCCAGTGAGCCACTGGATCTTATAGATCTCACAGGCGCGACTCCAAATTCAGAATTCTCCTCGGCTCAGAGTCCTTGCCCTCTTAGATGTCAGGGAATTTCGCAAACTACGACTTTAAGGGGAGAGGACTTTCCAGGGGCGCGGGCTGTGCCACCCGGGAATCTCACCATCCGCGGGCGCTTAGCGCAGCCAAGCGACAGGCCGGCGCCAGGGCGCAGCAACAGGGAGGCGCCGGCTGAGGCGGGGAGAACTTTGGCGCTCCAAGCAGAGCCACCCTTTGCTGGCCAGTCGTGTCGCTCCTCCAAGGAAGCCAGCCGCGGTGGCGACTGAGCGGAAACATAACGAAAGGAAGGAAGAGACGAAGTAGCGAGGGAGGAAGGGAAATGAAGCCAGCGCTGGGGGAGCCCGCGAGCGGGTGGCCGACAGTGGAGCAAAGCGGATTTCGCTTCTTTCCCGCACCCCGGGCGTGAACGCCCTCTCCAACGCGACCCCAGGAAAGAAGTGAGCAGAAAAGAAAGAGTCCAAGTGAGAGCATTGCTCCTCTGTCACCGCTGACTCCTTGGCACTCCGGCAGCTTCTCAGCCCAGCCGCCCCGCGGGGCTGGACGCAGTGCCCGAGGCGCCCTGCAGATGGGGCGGGCAGGGAACAGGCGCCCAAACTGCGGGTGACAGGCGCCGGCCCGCCCGCCTGCCCGGCTCCGCGCAGCAGGGACTGGGCGGGCAGAGGATGCGAGGCGGAGAGACCCGGCAGCGGGATCTGGGACAGCCGAGGGAGCGTTAGGCTACAACTTGCATTGACCTGAGACCGCTCCAGCTCCTGGGACCGCTTCGCCGCGTCTGGTGAAGCCGCGCGCGGGACCTGGAGGCGGAGACCTTAGGCGGCGGCCGCAGAGGGACGAGCCGGGCGCAGGAGGGGGCGCGCTTTCTCCCTGTGGGTCTCAGTAATGAGGAGACTGAGTTTGTGGTGGCTGCTGAGCAGGGTCTGTCTGCTGCTGCCGCCGCCCTGCGCACTAGTACTAGCCGGGGTGCCCGGCTCCTCCTCGCACCCGCAGCCCTGCCAGATTCTCAAGCGCATCGGGCACGCGGTGAGGGTGGGCGCGGTGCACTTGCAGCCCTGGATCAGGGGCCCCCGCGCGGCCAGCCGGGCTCCGGACAGCAGCCGGGCAGGAGCCCAGCGGGATGAGCCGGAGCCAGGGACTTGGAGGCCCCCGGCGCCCTCGCCAGGCGCACGCTGGTTGGGGAGCGCCCTGCATGGCCGGGGGCCTCCGGGCGCCCGGAAGCCAGGGGAGGGCGCTGGGTCTGAGACTCTATGGCCGCGGGACGCCCTCCTATTCGCCGTGGACAACCTGAACCGCGTGGAAGGGCTGTTGCCCTACAACCTGTCTTTGGAAGTAGTGATGGCCATCGAGGCGGGCCTGGGAGATCTACCGCTTTTGCCCTTCTCCTCCCCTAGCTCGCCATGGAGCAGTGACCCTTTCTCCTTTCTGCAGAGCGTGTGCCACACCGTGGTGGTGCAAGGGGTGTCGGCGCTGCTCGCCTTCCCCCAGGGCCAGGGCGAGATGATGGAGCTCGACTTGGTCAGCTCAGTCTTGCATATTCCAGTGATCAGCATCGTGCGCCACGAGTTTCCGCGGGAGAGTCAGGTGAGCGGAGTGTGGCGCGCGGCACAGTGATGGGCGCTGCTGGGGACCGCGACTCAGCCGGGGAGGAGAGGCGAGAACAGGGCCGGGTGAAGTCGGAGGGACTTGGGGCTTCATAACTTTGATACGGTTTAAGGATTTGATCATGTCCGTAGGTGGTAGGTAGAAGGACCTCAGTAGAAGTAGAATAAAGCATTTTAAGCGCGGGTGGAAATAAAATGCGAGTTTGGGGTCGCGGGTGGTGGTAGGAAGGGGGACGATTACGCCAAAATCATGTTTTGACCAGTTGGGAAAAATCCAGGGGACGCCCGACGGAAGTAGAAGTCGGGGTTCTGAAGACTAGTGCCGGGAGTGGGGGTGGGGGTCCCTGACACTGCTAGAGTCGTACACCCCCGTGAAGAACTCTGGGAGCATTATCTGCTCTTTTCGACTTCTTCGGTTGTGCCTGACCCTCAGGTAATTGTTTAAGGAAGAAAACACATGCCTCTGAATTCCTTTGAGTAAGTAGAAAATCTGCAACTAGTTCAGAAGCAGTAAGTAAAGAAGAGCGATTCATTAGTCTTGGGTATCGGTGCATTAGAAATATCACCTGACAGCGTAAAAACGAACTGGGTGGACGCATTGGGGGATTGTTTCTTTGTCCCTGCCTTTCTTCTATGTGATGTATGCTCAGGGGCTGGTAAGCAATTGCTGCATTCAACCCATTTCTGCTCCTATTATCTAAGAATAAAGGAATAGGAATCTAATGATTCAGTTTTCTATGAGTTAAATATATATATATATATATTCAATAAAAGAAGCTATTTGTGAACTTAACTTGACAAGTAACGATGAGGAGATAAATATTTAAGAAGACACAGGATACTTTTAGGAGTTTCCTGCATTTTATACATTACTTTTATCATATCAGGCTGTATTAAGCCTCGCACAAAGTATTTATGAAGCAAATAGGTAATTGGCATTGGTCCCATTTTAAAGATTTAAAAACTAAGGAAACTTCTGGAGCTTGATCAACATTGGTCAGTGTACTAGTAAGAGAGTCCAGTCCCTGGAGAATTTCTGACTTTACATCATTTTCACTCTATCTCTTTAGCTGGAAAAATATTTCTAATCTTTCCTCTTCCACTTTTTATATATATGCAGAGATAAAAACTAAAATGGATAAGGGCAATATGCAAGTGAAAAGTTTGAAAGAATCTATGCATAAAATATAAAGGAAGTACTAAATATTTCTTTTTCTAGAAAAACAAATCTTACATTTTTAATCTTAGGAAAGGCGAGTACAAGCTACTTTCAGCAGTTGCCCAGAAGGTTCCTATTTAATGCTGAACCATAGAGATTTCATCTGCAGAGTGCAGGTTGATTAACTTTTATCTAAAATATTTCTGTCACCTGAATCTGAATGATTGTAGGCAGCAGATGGGAAGGCATGGAAAACACAGGTGCACAATGCTGCCAATGGCCAAAGTGTTACAAACATGAAATTGCATCCATAGGGTGCATCATTATTAATATATATGCAGAATCAGACCTAACAAAATGCAGGAGTCAGCATCACTTGCTTCTCATCATTGCTTCTTTATTACCTAATTCTTCATAGGTTGCCAATAGTGGTCATAGTCTCCAGACTCGTTTCTATTTGTAGATGGTTTGGCAAAAGTCATAAATAGCAAGAGTTTCCTCCCCTCCTCCAAAATAGTGTTTCTTAGTTAGAAGGGAAATTATCTGCGTTCAATAATGGATGTGTGCAGTATACAGAACATTACAACCAGGGGACCAGAAAAACCATGAAGCAGCACCTAGAATCAGTAAACTTCAAAGCTTTAAGACCACTGGGGGAATAAAGTCCTCCGGGGACAACCCTTACAAGACGACCATAAAATGAATACTGCCAAGAACACTTACTTCTGTATTTCAATTTAGAAATTTTATATCACTGTTGTCAATGTTACCTTCATGCTACACATCTTGAAAGGGAGAGATTATTTTATTAACTCAGATTTAGTGTGTACAACTGAAGACATTTTCTCTCCCTTTGTATTTTAAATTCAAACATCTCTAACTTGTTTGACTTTTAGTATATCATTTAAATGTCATTCTATAATATTCTATGTTAAGCATGTCCTGCTCAATGCCATCTCACTGGAATATGTAATTTTAGGATATGATCATAATCTGCTTTCAGCAAAATAATAACTGATCTTTCCCTTTCTTCTCCTGAAAAGTAGACCTTTCTCTGATACTCTGGTGTGATTTTTTTAAACTTTCAAAATATGAAAGTGTGTCAAAGTCATTTTACACATTTAATAAAATTGATTTAATTTAGCCGCTATCCTTAGAGTCGACTGACCAGTGACCTAATTTGTTGATTGTGTTAGTGCCTGAATAAAGGATCCTAGAAGAAAGTGGACTTATTCACACAACCAAGTAAAACAAAATTGTGTCTTATTTAAACAAATAAAAATTGCTTTTAGAGTAGGAGCAGCAACAGCTGTTTTCTCTCACTTTCTTTGGGCTGCTGATTTCTTTCATATGAAGGTTTTAATTAATAAGTAATCACTTCATAACATCCTGCCAGACTCTTGAATGGAAGGAGATCCCAGTGATATGATCAAACCCCTGGTAAAAGCATTATTGTTTTATTTCAAAATACTATTTATTCAAAATATAAATACATAGGATCATCAGCTTGAAGGAGACCAACTTCCTTCAAAAAGGGAAATTCATTAAAGTAGTTGAGTTTAACTATCAACTTTTGCAAGGCATATGCACTACATAAAAAAGGCTTAATAAAACATTACATGCAGGAAGGGATCATATATTATCACTACATAAAAAAGGCTTAATAAAACATTACATGCAGGAAGGGATCAAAGCATGTTTTTATCAAAAACTTTCTCACTTCACTACCACACTCAAACTCACACTTGAGGCTAGTCCATTTTATTAAAGTGATCACTTTTTAGTTCTAAATTCTATTCCTATGACCTTCAAATAATGATGCTGTATATGAACCTAGTTCCATTTACATTTAATTTACATTAAGTTCCTACAGTTCTTTCTTTCTCTTCCCTTCCCAGACTACTTTTTCTTCTAGGGGTTTTGTGTAGCTTCTTCAAAGTTAACTCTTTAAAATTTATTGCTGATGTAGTGACAGATACATTTTTTCTAAAATATATATCTCACGTTAATTCCACATTCGTTCCATTAGGCAGAGTTAATGAAGTAATATAATTGGCTTGGATCCAAACCCATGCAATTCAGAAGTGATTGCACTCTTATTTTCAATTCTTGTTGAATGTACCAAACACATTTTTGCCTATCTCATCAGCCATGTGTGCTAAATAATTAATATGTTTATTTTCATGAAAGTATGTGTTCTTAGATGGTCCGTTTTTTCTGAAAATAAAAGGCTAAGTATTAAAGTCTATTTATTAGAGTTTGGTTAGCACAATGCTATTTTGCATGGTACAGGGGACAGAACAATGATACCACTACATATCTTAGGTGTCTCCTAAGGGGACTAGTAAAGGACACTTATTTTTAAGATGTCTGTTCTCAGGTGTGTTGGTTTTCTTTGACTTGCTCTATGCAAAACACGCTCTCTCTTCTTTTGGGTAAATGTATTCTGAAATTCATGATTAATTGCTGGTAGTAGCACTGGAAGATAAATGATTTTAAATTAAATGTCAAATGATGCAAAACTTTTTCTAGTAGTGATCTTTTACAGGTTCCTCCTGAAGAACAGAGATCCGGGATTAATTTGGAAGTGTTTTTTATTTTTAATTTGGTAATTTATTTATAGTTTAGTTATTTTTCTAGATAAATAGAGCAGAAGAGACTGGCAGACACCATCTATTGGGCAATTAGTCTGTCTCACCCACTTTTCTTGGTGCTTACCACAGAAGAGTCATTAAATCCATAAAGAATGTACTTGCTCTTGATCTTACTCATCTATTATATCCTGGAGCTAATTTATGATTGAATCAGCTAAGCTATCTAATGACCAATTTCAATGTCTAATTCCTTAGTGTTTTATCTTCTTGTGTTGCAGAAAGTACCATGAATTTTGAACTATTAGTTTTTATTTCATGAATACTCCCAAATTCCAACCACATTGGTTAAAAGAGCTCAATATAATGGAAAAGATATGAAATAGTGGTCAAAAGATTCCCAATCCACTGCATCTCTTATTGGCCACATAATCTTGGGCAAGTGACTCTATCTCTGAGCACCTATGCTTATCAGTCAAAGCAAGGTACTTGACCAATAACTGAATAGTTTTGTGCATTAAATGAAAAAGTGTAAGTACTTTGGAAAAATTTATATTATTAGCCAAACAACTAGTAGAGCGGTGTTGGTCACGATCTGATAAGAATCAATCAAGTCCTAATTCTAAATTAATTCTTCATTAGTGATTACTAACCAAAATGGAATGGGATTCACAGTGTAACATGTCTCCATTCCCCACCTTCCTGTGTATACTCTCCCTCATTTTTTTCTCTTGATAAAAAAAGAAAAAGTAAGTGGGTTTAGCCAAAAGAAGAACTACGTTCCTAAGTAGGTTACACACATGCCTGAGAAAAGAAGACATACCACAGTACATTTTCTGTACCAATGGCAACTTTTTACCTATGGCACATCTAACACAGCTTCTAGAGCCTTAAGAACTACCATAGAAACTTCAATAAGATGTCCAAGGTTTTTGAGAAAGGTTCGTCTTTCACATTGGTCATAAGTTTTTTTGAAAGCAAATTCATTATTCATGAGACTATGGTTAAACAGAGTCTATCCCACCCTCACCCCCATTCCACCAACTATACTATTAAGCACACTATTTGGCTCACCAACTTTTTTTTTCCCACAGCAAGTCTTTCTCGATAAAGAAAGCAGTGTGTCGATTTATACTGGCACAAGCTCCTTATTCTCATCATAGACAGATAATTTGCAAACTAGCTACTTTGAGTGCCATGGCCCCAGACAACTATGTGGGGCTCTCTTAG